AATACATACCAAACGGTGGTGGCACCATTGGCTGATAATATATCAATACCGCTCGTCGCCCACCTTCCATGAAAAAATCATTGAATGTTTCTATATATTCATCTTTATCCAAAATGCCGTCCTCCAGCACATTGCTGTCAGTTTCTAGCATGAACGCCGCAATATCCAATATATGACGATGTGTAGTCTTGAGCAATCCCTGCCTAACTACTCGCTTTTTCTTATACTTTTCCTTAAAATAATACAGCCATTTTTTTTTTTTTCAATTTTTGGAGCACCAAGTCGGGAGATAAAATGTCATGGGTCAACTTACAAGTTGCTCTCTGGTAGTTTCAGTAGAAAAATTCTGCAAGTCACCAGCTCTCCGATTCAATACCTCATTTATCCGCCGATCAATAGCTGGAGGGGTATAATCACGGTACACATTTGATGGCATTATAGTCTCTTTATTAATTACCCAATTGTCAAAATCATTGAAACATTATCTGTCTTTCATGAAATAGTCTGAAGCGTCGAAACAAAAAGACAATCGACTTATGTATAGGACCGGAAAATACTCTTCTATCGTAATTCCATTTATTTACAACGAATTCGGGATAACTTCATTGCATAGCTATAGAATTACTACCTGCACTGTATATAATTGTATGGTATAACAATGTTCGTTAATATCCGTAAATGATCTATAATATACTTATATATTTAATAGATATACAATAATTATTATGTATCCAATTCTATATGCCTATGTGTGTAATTATGCATAAACAACAAGGTGTATGAATATGACACTTTTTAATAAAATGAGATGGTTGAAAATTCTTTAAAAACTAGAAAATCTCTAAGAAGTCTATAGTTTTGAGTGATTCCATAGATTACATATTAACATCTTTGGTACATAATGGTTGAAATTCTTTCTGAGGTTGATAGGCGCTATAGGCGACGGAAACATTACATTATGCCTACGGTTATTTAACTAAAAAATAATTTAATAATCAACAAAGTATCAACTTTGTATGTGCTGTCCGATTCTATTTAATAATAAATTGAATATATCATATTGGAGAACCAGTCAAATTAAACAAAAATCCAATGGCTTCACTCCAAAATTCACAACGTATATTTGAACTTGCGTAATTGAGATTAATGCTATGGAAAACTTACCGAGTCAGCTACAGTTACCCATAGTCAAAATTAAATATATTGAAAGTTCATAAAGCACTCTACTTCCTAAATGTTTTATTATCTCCTACTTTTGACAAGTTCAAAACAGCCGGTATTGGTCATTTTAGCAGTTCAGCTCAATGTCAAAGAGGTATTGGCTATTCCGCAAAATTTGAAGTGTTTTGAAAACCATTTTCTTAAATGTTGAGACTCGGGAGATATCAACAATATAGAATGGATATTTGTTTCAACCAAAAAAAAAAAAATTAAAATTTCGGGAGGAAAAAAATTTGTGACTACTCATGGTTTTTCGTCTGGGACTTGGTACTACATACTTACTAAGTTTGAAAACTTGAGAATCGCTACGGAAAAACAATATCTCGGATGTCGAGATAGGGATTTTCCACTCGTGGAGGGTGGCCAGTCTTCACCTTCAGCTTAAACGCCAATTCCGCACGAGTACAAAACTCCATCCCAACCGCCCGGGAATATACAATTTCGTAGTCTCAAAATAATAGAGAGGTCTAACTCGCAAGATATCGATATTTTGAAAGTTGGCGGCTAATCTGAATTCGGGACTCATTTAATTTTGAAATTTTAAATCATAATGGCAGCGCGCGTGCCGTGTTGCCTCTCGAATTTACTTTCACAACATCGCGTACCCCCATTTAGGCATTAAAGAAATTCAGACAATTATCGATAATCATATATTATTAATTTGTTTTATATGTAAAATCTAATTGTTAATTAACTGAATCATCTTAAACCATCGTTCGATTAGATTGTATAAAAGAAACCGTTATTGTTTCACTTGCAATGGTATCGTAGTACGCATATTCATTAGCATCCCTTCATAATATGTATCAGGTATGGGGAAGATCCAGGTAGTTCGGAGCAGAGCCATAAATTCAAATTAGGTATCGAATAAAGTTTATAACCCTTTCAATTATAAAAGTTCTAGTACGATCATAGTGGGAGCCTCAGTTACTGTCGTAGGGGACGTCCCATAACAGTGTTTAGCATCTATTAATAATATGGATATTGGGCTAAATATAAAGTAACTATAGTCCATTGTTTATACTATAGCCGTTCGAACAACGTCCTTGTTTTACTTGAGCAGGAGTATATATTTTACATGTTCTACCTTTTTATACATTCTGCGAGATGCCTTACCGAAAGTATATTTTTCCACATCTAAGTGATACTGCGACAGATAGTTGTCTACTTTTTTTTAACTCTGCTGAAGAAGATACCATCACAGCTCTTTTCTATGTTCTATCCGGTGCTGTTGGTTTATCAGACATTTTTCTTGACAGTCAACGTTCGTCATGTTTTAGACCAGACTAACTGATTTCTAGATATCTTACACATCTTACGCTCGATTTAAACCTCTGATATATGAAACAGACTAGTTGGACTTAATTGGTCATTATCTTTAGTTGGGCATCCGTCGTATTCTTTATTCAACTCTCTCAATCTTTTGATGCATATTCTGTTTAGAATAAACCGTTATTTTCTTTATTATACAAATCATTTCTTTTGTATATCTACTGTTTGTATGGAACCTAATCTGTCATGGGCAGTCTTTCCCTGTAAGACAGATTAATAATAAAGAAAGAGAAATAAATACCAAAACATAATAGTGCATTGAACAAAATCGACATTGTCATAAAAATTCAACATCCTGAACTGTCAGTATTTTGTAAGTTGCTTTTCAAAGTTTTCTTTCAATACTCGATACTTTAAGAGCCAGTTTTTCGATAAGTTAACCGTTGTTAAAGTTACAGTTAAGGATGTTTACCAAATCCCGCACAACTCTACGTTATTTTGATTTTTTCCTATATTATACTTCTATATCTGAGTTACACAATACTGAAAATTTATTTCTGAAAATCACTCGCAGCAATACGTGTTGTCTATCCGCTTATGGGAGAATTGTGACGGCGGGTACTTGAATCAAAATAACGGGTAGTTTAAAAACTCTAACTTTTGAAAAAAAATCGAATATGATATTTTTAAGGATATATAGTTTCTATCACCGGTGAAAAAAATTATAATACCCGGCATCATAAGCGAGAAATTTATAATTGATTTTTTAAAAGATCTAAAAATCAGTGGCTATTAGGATGCGAAAATATTGACAATCTTGTTCTTACAGGTGAGCCTTCTCGGCAAGGTAGATGACGATGAAACAGTGATGGCGGAGCACCTCGCTAATTGCGGTGTTGCACGATCAAAACTCGAGCATTGTTGCAGTAGTCAGCCATAGTCAACGTTTATAAATATTTTCCATTTTTCTTCATAATTTTGATCGAAAGGTAAGCGATGACGCTTGTAAATGACTAGAAAAAATTATTTAAATCATAAATTATTTATTCGAATTTTTTTATTTTATTTGCCGACACTTGAGCGATTAAACATCTTTGAGATCCCTGATTGGCTGGGCTCAGCGGTGAGGGGTCGTAACTGAACTTTAACCACACGGTAAATTTATCGAAAAATTGGCCCTTCATTTAATTTGAAACGATAATTTTCAAAATAACTAAACACCGTACTGCAAGAAAAAATTTCACTTTCCCACATTTACTCACTTCGTTTCTTTCTCTTCACTGAAGAGTCATCTCCACTTCGGTTGATTTCAACTGAGCGGAAATGTCTTTACGACCCTGGTCGTAAAGGCCCATCACTTGATCCAATGATTTCGGTTCTACCCTCTGTCACGCACTAATAGAGATTGGGAGCACGATTTGCTCTCAGAGCAGAGGTTGCCCAGCCCTGATTTATATTAATAAAAAATAGACCATATTTGATGCACATAGGGATTTTATCGCTATAAGACTGGGAAACGGAAATTTCATTACATTCACCGTGTCCACATTTCGTCTAATGATTGTTGCATTTTTGTGTTATTCTTTAAACAGCACTGGTCTGAAATTGTGTCGGTCGATTGAGCCTATTCCCTTCTTGACTTGATCCTTTTAATTAGATATTACCTTTTATTACATCGAGGACGACAAAAACAAACCTCTGCTCTTGAATCACCTATAACTACTAATAACTCCAATGCTTTTCCAATGGGGCACACTGGTAATAGTTGATAGCACTACTATAGTTGTCAATAGCTTGTCCACCACTTGCGGCTGGTTCAATACTATTTGAAAACTGTGCTCTTATTTTTTTGATACAAATTCATAATTTGAATTAAAAATTCTATTTATTTTTCGCCAATCAGTGGATAGAGATGAATAAATAATTTCAGAAAATACAATAATGTATGAAAAATTGTTTCATTGTTTGCTTGCATCAATCGTGTTTTTTCATGGATGAATTCCGTTTTAAGTTTAAGTAAGTTTTCCGTTTTTTCTTGGAAATTCCTCATTTTTGATGTAATTGATTTTTTTCCATCTTTAAAAGCTCTCAGCATGAATCAATTTTAAAAAGTAAGCATGGTGTGATATTTAATATGAAGATGGATAAAAAAAGGCAGGAAAGAAAGGCAAAATGATCCGTCATATAATTGAAAAAATTACGATTTGTAACTATAATAAAATTGATATTTGTAAACAGGATTGCAATAAACGGTATTCAAAACACTCCAATTTTTGCAATATCATCGGTTATATCTTCGTTTTTAACATTGGCCCAGCTTCTTCAAGCGTCAGCTAATATCTTTGATTTTGCAGACCGATCAATGAGGCTGACTGAAAATCATTTCTTAATCAGAGAATTATCAATATTTGGAAATTGACAATGGATTTCGAAAAAAGAGGATTTAAATAGCGAAAAACATTTATTAAATAGCCTACCTTTCTCATTTACAGTTGTCTCGAAAACAATAGAATGATATAGAGTAATATTCTATACACATTCAAAATGTGGAGAAGGTTTTAATGTTTGTAATTCTGACCAATCATGTTGACAGCTGCTAATCCTCACTTACTGTTATAAAGATTGACGGACTCTTTGAACATAGATTGTGAAAACAATAAATTTCACAAGGAGATAGTTGACAAAATGCCTGCATTGTACACTTAATGCTGTTTATGGTTCTTTCTCTATCGACATAATTATCCCTGTACTGAGTCCTTAATTGGAATTTGCAACTGATTCCTTCTCGTTAGCAAGCTACCTGGTTCTAGAATAATATTTTCACAAAATTGTCAATTCGTGACATTAAATGTTGATTTGTTTTTCGAAAATCCTCTTCACAATCGATTATCCACTTGAATCAATCCTGCACGCACTTAATAATTTAAGTATACAATTGGTTGCGCAGAAAATGAATGAATGATTTTACGCTCTAGAGTAACAAGAGAATACGAAAATTATATTCAAGTGTACTACACTTTGTAAAATACTTCAGCAATCCATAACGCTATTAGCTGGAGACATTTGGAACTTGGATGTGAAACAAAAAACATAAAATGACGAGCAATCACGTGAGTACTTGATCGAGCCTTTTTCTCCTCATTGTCTATCGTGTGTACTAAAAATTCTTCTAATAGACAAATTAGATGGAATATTGACATAAGTCAGTTAGTAATAAATATCAAGTAAACAATGGAACGATTTATTATATTCAATGTAAGAAGCGCAATTTAATAAGCATTCCGTTGCAACTCTTAGAATCATCAATCATGTTACGGATCAGGGTCCACAATGTCGAAACTTCTTAGTATTAGATTTAGATCCACAGGAATGAATATGAAAATGTTTGAAGAGAACAGTATGTCGTCGACAATGTGTCGTCTAATTGTCAGTGTCCTGTTCAGTGTTATATGATACAGACAAAAAACTGCTGTGGTTATCAATGATGAGACCAATGTTTCCGCTTAGAAAATATAATTTCTAATTAAAAAAATGTTAATTGAATGAACATATCGAATGGCACCTTAGGCATTTATTTTCACTATTGATGTCCGAAGAGTATAGAAAAACCTTGGTTTATCTAATGGATTCTCAATGCGCTTATGAGCATGCATTTCATTCCGAAAACTATCAATGAATTCTTGTTTGTGAATTATGTATTGCCTGCATGCACACAGATGTTCATTTTAAAAATATACGGAAAACAGTACAATATGTTAAAAGTTGCTGAATAATAAATGATTTAATCCTACAAACATTTCTTGTTAAAAAAAAATGTCAACTTTTCATTCATTTATCCTCTGTTCATACAATTTGAATTGTATAATTTAATTTCTCGTATTTGAGTATTCAGCACAAAAATAAAGTCATATACAAATGGTTCAGCTTGTATCTATACACAGGTCATTATTTTTCATTGGAAATTTGTATTAATTAAGCAACTGACCTAACGAACTTTCTGTACAGGGATTTCAATGTTCTCAGTGATGAGTAAACTCGATTTTTTACTTCCAGTAACAAATTTCTCAGTAGCTATTTGATGTACTGTATTGACATATCAATATAATATAGAATTCGTGTATTTCCCTAAAAATAACATTTTTCCATTGCTGACGATTAACGTATCCAGCAATTATAACATTAGCGATTAACTAATACGAAATTCCAGTGGCTGGTGATAACTACCATTTGGTTCCTCCTTGGGCTGCAGCCTCTGCAGCAGCTCCCGCTGCAAAAGGATTAGTGACTGGATGCCACATGGTTTTCATTATTATCAGTTCAGAGAAAATACATTTATATTCTATGAATTATCAATTAATTACTGTACACTAATTTGGAGATTTAGATGAATTTATGATACATTTTTGTCATAGCTACGAAGCCAGTTCACTCAAAATTAAATCGCTCCAATATAATTCTTAGTCATATGAACAAAAGTTCATAGAATTCAATTGCAAATCGATTATAGATTGAATCACGATTTCTATATAGAACCTTTTTCGAGAAAACGACAAAAAAAGTGAAAAGCTTGCATTCACTTGTACAATATTTATATCTGGATATAATATAGTTTCCTACAATATCAGTTATTCAGCTGTGTTTATTCCTCAGCTGTCTGACCATTCGCGATGTGATAGATAAGTTACCGCTCACTTAGAGAAAGCTAACCATAAAATAGAAGTACTGCAACATGAATCGTGACCTCAACTTCATATATTACTATTTCAAAGTTGTAATTTACAGGTTCAAAATTCGTCTTTTTTGAAACTATATTCGTAATTTACTCTTTCCACCCCGTAATACCAGCTCGAATACCGTCACCTTAGAAAGTACGGTAACCCTAGAAACTAGTAGAAATTTCGGGCGGCTCTGCAACATACAAAGGTGAGGCGACATTTCCGCTGCATTCGCCTGAATTGAAAATGTCAATGGGGTATTCCCCCCTAAATTCATTCGTTCTCTTAAATCTTTGCAGGGCTAATGCTCATAATTCAATAAATCAATTTGGCCAATTTAAACTGAAGTTGAGTTAAGACAGAGTGAATGAGAAATTATCGTTATACTTTTTCAATAAAAAATGGTCTCTGTTTCTATTAATTAGTAATATTCGCTAAAAATTGCCGCCACAACGCGCTACCGTTAGCTTCCCCCTCGGCCCCATCTATGATCTATCCCTCTTTCGATGGGATAGCATCCTGAGCAAATTTTGGACATAAAGGTTCTTATGCTAGAGTTAAAGAATTTGTCCAAAATTATTGCCCACAACAAAAATTACAAAAGAAAAATGAATAAAAAAAAAGCGGCTCTAAAAATGCATTTAAACAGTTTCCACCGACGAGGTGCAGTTGAGCTCGATACGCTGACTTATAGTTTAATTTGTTAGAAATGTAAGAGTATACTGCCATTGAAAGATGCAAAGGATACGTCAGAACAACTTTTTATGTTGTTACATTTTCAAATGTTTTTCAGGCATTATTTCTGTAAAGGACGAGAATAAAATATAAAGTCCTGAAAAAGTGTACACCTGAAAAAGAAATAAAGAAAATATACTCAGGAGCACATTGGGGGAGTAAAAAGAACTTACTGCCTTTCATTCCTGAGACCCGTTGATTCTGAGCGGTGGTGGGTATTATCTTTATTCGAAATTGCATTGAAAAACAATTGTAGATCATGAGACGGATCTTAGCCATTAATAATTATGCCTGGGATGGCGAGATTCAAGCTCACACAAAGTTACGTTCCAACATATTGCACTGTATGTCAGTGATAAATAAATAAGATATTTTTGCGTTTTCAGAACGTGAAAGCCCTATAATGGTAAATCTGCAGGTTTTTATGAATTCGATTCTCAATCTCGAGTTGGCCATACCTGGTGGTAGGGGGCAGAAAACAAGGTTAACTTACTAATCGAGCGCGTATCCAGGCGATGGATAGGAAAAGGCTAGAGGGGGAAGAGCAAGCCTCTGATTGGAACAGGAAACAAGTATTTTTCGGACCTGGAAGGAACCCATAAAAGGACTGGCCAACGACGATCACAGGGCAAATAGATCGGAGACACGAACGAGCGAATTTAAAACACCCAGACCAACTGTCAAAGGGAAAATATTAGCTACCGTGCTGAAGGCTGCATGACGACAAGGGGACTGCATCCTCAGTGGTGTATGTAACTAATCCCTGCTCTGCCCGGATGATACACCATCCCCGTGCATACTCGTGGGATTCATATGGATACTAAAATAAAATAAAAACGCAACAAAGTCGACTTGGATATTAAAGGGTAAGGAGAACAGCAACGTCCACGAGAGGACTCTACACGTGCTGCCCCCTGAGAAGCTACCGAAGCAGCACAGGCTGATAGTACAGGTAGAGGACTAAGTTATTTCGACCCAGAACGTGGTTGTTCTTATGAGCAGGTAAAATTTTGAAGTGTAACCATCGTTGAAGTCGATTACGACCAAAGGCAGTGAGAAAAAGGGCACGTCGAGTGCCTACTTCGCTGCACTCGTCACAGACAGGACTTCAGAGGCTCTCAAGACCTGCACCCTTAGATCTCACTGTGGGACTCAGAGGATTATTATCAAGTCCCTAGAAGAACCGCACTGCAGGAAATGAGACGAACGAGAAAGACAAGTGAGTCCAAAATAGCTCATAGGTCGACTACTATCGCCCAGATTAATTTGCATCACAGCAAAAGAGCCTCTCCTATCCTCAGCCAGACGGTCGCAGGAATGTAAATAGTTGTGTCTCTTACCCAAGAACCGTGGCTGGTCTCGAAAATTGTGGGAAGTTATTTAAGATAAGGCCTTGCATTGTAATTGAGGGAATTCAGGCTTTCTTTCTACAACAACTCAGCACAGGGGACTTGACTGCTATCAGGCTGAAATTCCTCATGAAAGATAATGAGGTTGTTGATGTAGTTGTGGGGGCAGTATAATACAACCTACAACCCTCCATAACAACCTTCAACATTAGAAACTGTGAATTTGACACACATGGTGAGGGGTGGGAGCCGTGCACTCCTGCTTGGTTATGATGACAAGTCCCGTCAGATAGTATGGGGTAGTTGAAACACTAATGAAAGGAGTCAGGATTTATTAATCTTAAACAGGGATATCGAATCGACTATCCTGGGCTGTAGAAGACAGGCGGTTTTTGATATTACCATCTGTATCGTGGGCGTGTCGAGTTGTATGAGGGACTAGAGGGCTCAAATAAATCATTAGGCTCATAACACAGTCAGATATATCTGAGAATCTGTGGCAGACGGGAAAAGACCCCAAGGAGATATCCTAGGAAGGCAAACTGAAATAACTCTGGAAAGGAACTTTCTTTAAGGATCTAGGATGTGCCGAAAGAATTCCAGAACAAAAAGTATCTTGAACGGTCAGTTGAAAGCTTTGGCGAGACCATAAAACGTTACTTTGAAACCAACAACAGTGGGATAGTGCCCTCGCTGTCGTGAAGAACCATCTGCGAACGACATTGAAAAAAGTGAAACGCCTATGGGGAATCGGGCAAACGCCGAACCACGGAAAAGCAGAAACGCCCCAGGAAAAATACAACAAGGAATTAGCGGAAGCTAGAAGAGAAAGTAAAGAATAAAGTAAAGAGACAGTAATCGATGATTACGCCGGATTTCGAAAGAATATATGGTTAGCCAAAATTATGTACACTTTCCCCAGATGCCATATCTTCTACAGATGCAAATGTTTTCGTGTGATTGACTCTACACCAAGTTATATGAGTAAATAAATTTGCATTTCGGTTATTGGTAATGAACTAGAAGCCGATTGAATTAATATGTTTAAATGATCCATGTTCAGCTCCACTTTGTCGTCTCTGTGGGTTATTAGTTATTTTACCCTATCCACGGACTCTTAGTTAACAACATTCAAATTATTACCTTCAAATGTCACGTTATCAATATTCTTTCGAAAGATAACTGGAAAAAATCGGGAGGATAAACCATGTTTCCTAAATGTTTGTATTATTTACTATGTACAGTGATTAGAAATAATTTTTTCATGTTTTTATGTAAACTCATGAAAATCCGTGAAGAAAACATCGAAAGTCATGAAATCGGAGCTGTTTGGGATTTTTAGTATTTTGAGTAGTTTACCCGCTGCTATAGCTAAGATCTCGTAATTGTATTTGCACAATATCACTATGATGGCAAGAAAGCGTAAGAAAAATTAGTTTGCTTAAGGAAAGTTGCCAAACAAACTTTCGTCCGTTCAGCACATAATTTTGAATAAAAAAAAAATAATTCGTTACTATGCAGAAATCCTGTTCCGAAGAAATACATTATTTTTTCAGCAAATTCCGGATTTCTACTATACAACAAAAATACTATCTTTCGCGTAGATTTTTTGTGATAGTGATCAAAGAGGAATTTTTATCGAAAAACAGTCAAATTACGCGTACCGTGCGAAGGCATTACGTTCGAGTGATAAAATTTCAAGTAAATCGCTTCTTCTTGGAGACGCTGGCGTGCAAGCATTTCCAACATTCGAAATGTGTTATTGGAACATGAGTGATCGCGACTTCATGAAAGCTTCATGTAGACTATTAGTGGTCACCTACTCAGCTAGCTATTTGAAATATATACATTAATACGACAAAAAAGAAAAAAATCACAAAAGGGAAACAATAAGTTTATTAATACAATAATTTTTGAATCTTCAGGAAAATAATGGAGAAGCATTTAAAAACTATGACTCTGGCACTTCATAACGTAAAAATGCGAAGAGTATTGTTTTCGTAAACCGTAAATAATAGTGGGCAATTTCCATGTACGATTCGCGTCAAACTTTTCATTCGTTTCAGTTATAAAATAAAATGGAGATAAAGAGTTAATATCTCATCTTTTTTATCAGAAAAAAAATTACTAAAAATTACATCTCGTTGCGCAGCAGGTATCGAAAACCTCCGATACACGTATCACCGTTATTGCTATATGCGTTTACGGAATATTCTGAATGCCAATATCTGCACCAAAAAAATCTAATAATATGAGAAACAATAATACATGCAAAATAATTACAAATAAAAGCAATTAATGGAAATTGTGCTTCAGAATATTGAATGTACTTCATTATACACTTTGATTTAGAGCACGGTTACTAGCAATGTAAAGAAAAACAAGTTCATTTCATGCATTGATTGTATAAACTGCTTTCATCTCATCTTAATTTACGTCTGCTTTTCCTTTATATATGCTATAAAACCAAAAATAAACGAAAAATGGAGAGTGCATGGGGATTTAACTTAATTGGTGCGATGAATTAACCAGAATTAGACATACTGGTGGTATATATAACACCCTGACCACCGCTGTTCAAGTTCGTACTTTCATTAGCCGTTGACGCAGGTGGTGGTGGCATTGCGAAGACCGTGTTGGTAGAGGCGCCTTGTGCAGCTCCACTTGTTGGTTGATTTGTTACAGTGTCATCTTCACTTCCGTCATCCTAAATTGAACAAATCATCAACAAATTCCAATTACACTCTATTCAAAAAAACCTATCTGTATCACCAACTTCTTAATACATATTTAATAAAATTATATGGTATTGTATAGCATAATAGAAGAATGATCACGTATTAGCTTACAAAAATTATGTAAATTTTGTAATTATCAGAAAATGTTCGAATGGTGAACGTTAACATTTTTAAATTACATGAGAGTGGAGCTCGACCATGTCGTCATGGTAAACATAGTTGACGATAATTAGAGCAATATTATCTGCACTAGCTTTCCCTGTGTCTATTACACCACTCGAATCGTTAATTATTGAATCATGAAGAGCAATATGAGCCATTGTGTGAACTTCAATTCACAGTTGCTTTCTCCCTTCTTTTTTCCAGTGGTTCCCCTCTCTCCCTTGTGGTAGCGCGGACCGATTTTTTCCCTGACTGCACCCATTTGGCTTTGTACTGAGGGAAACCATGGAAAGCCTCAGTTATACGGCCGGTCGGTAATGCAGGTATTCTGTTGTGTTCATCAGTCGCACTGACTCGATGGACACAGTAGTACAACCGTACATCCGGGCCTAACGCCGGCTGTCCCCACGCAGAGAGGCGTAACTAAGTGGACGACACCCATCCAAGCACTAACCAAAGTAAACGTTGCTTCGCTTTGGTGACCACCAGAGTCACATACCACCCGCGTGGGGACTGCCGCCGCGTCTTAAAAGTTTGATATCAAATTGTAATAACTCTTTTGCTATTAAATTTCCACCTTTCGATTCTACAACGCCGTGTAATTTATGAACTAGGTGCTAATGTTATTTTATATGCATATAAATCGAATGAATCCACATTAAGAGTGAACTGAATCAGTTTAAATGGCGTAAAAAGTAATGAAATTGAAATAGATACTTTTAGAAAATGTGTCTATGTATGCTTAGACACGTGTGTAAGTTTTTTGCATTATTCTTCCCACTCAAATATCAACCAATAGAATTGCACCATTTGACGTCCCGTGGTTCAATTTATACATGGTATTATACTGATGATTTGTTGATGTTTCCCTCTGGTAGTTGCTATATATAAAAAACAAAACATGATACGGTCAAATTAACGACAGACAGACAAATATGAAATTCTTATTTCTTAACTGTGAGTTTCGTCTCATAGAGTAATTCTATTAGCCGACATTTGGATCGGAAAAATTATCTTTCGGATACCACACGAGCTTCAAAATGATCTGGCATTTCCCTCAAGGTCCCCTGCAAACAAATGAAGTCATCAATTTTTTCAGGAAAAATCATTCGTGTTTCGCGCTCGTGATTCTTTAACCTGAAAAACTGGACTCCTTCATTGGTTTGCAACGAACCTGCCTGGAAGTGCCCGATAATTTCAAAGCTCTTGTGGTATTATAAGTGATTATTTTCCCAAACATGTCAGCCAATAGGACGTCATTTGGATGGAAAATCTCTGAAGAAATAGACCACAGAAAAAATAGACCCAAGTTAATTTTCGTATGGACTGTGAAGTTAAGTCGGTTTTAACACGTTTTGGATGTCTAGGCTTTTTTTTTCTTATCTATTTCTTGTGTGGACCATGTGGTAAGACCAAGAGGGCTTTGAACTGACAATTTTATCAGCTAGTTTTTACATAAAAAAAACAGCATCCAATCTAAACAACTTTTCGTCAAACTGACAGTTTGAATTTCATTATGGACTCCTCATTTCGCGGGTTTGAATGTCCTATTTCCCTTCCTCGGTGCATGTTATTCTTTCCGTCATCACTATACGGAAAAGTTCCATTTTTCTCCGTAAATGGCGGGAAGAATGTGGGTTATGTTATCCCGAAGATTCTCAAAAACAACAGAAACCTGAGGGACAGAATGGGCCACTTTCTGTTCGTTATTTGGGGAGTAAAATCGAACTTTCCGGGTAGGTATGACGGAAAACACTATGTGCAGCTCGGACGGGAAGACCTCTTTCGGCCCCTGATGCACAATATATTATTTTTTGAATGAAAACATGTAGCAATCCTCATAAAATTTTGCACATGCGTCAATCTTTGAGAGATGAATTCATTCGAAAAAAATCACGAGGGTCACGAGTACGCTTAAAAAAAATTATTAAAAATATGCTAAAAACCGGAAAAACTGCGTGCCCAGCGGGAACGTGCAACAATGTCGACAGAACCCATTCTCTAGGGAGAACGTGGCGGATACAAATGCATCGTGATAGGATTGGGCCTTTCATTCGTAGTTGAGTTTGATATATATAACGAAATGCAAAATTTGTGGATAATGAATAATGTTAAGAAATTACATGAAACAAATATTTACTAATTTTCAAAATTCTAAATACTGAGTTAAGACAAATAAATCCTCTTTAAAAAAAAAATTTCCATTTTCTTTCATTTATAATTAGGTCTATTGAATACTGAATTTATATATGGGCGCGGAGAGGCGATTTCGAATGGATTACTGACATTTTCTTTTTCATTTCGAAATCGAATTTAATATTTAATACTTCTTTTGGTAAATCGATCACGTTGCTGTAATACATAAAATTACATTTCCAATTGGAGCTAAAATACCATATACAGAATACGATACATGTATGATTTCATGGATATGGAGAAATATATTTTCTTGAAAAAAGAAAGGATAAACTAGAAACTATCATGGCAAAAGGTATGCAGGAAAATTTCACGGAGAAAAGTGTCAATTTTCATAAAAACAGTGTTTTGAACATATAAATATTTCAAATATTTCAGTGACGATAAATCCTTCTGATTTTTGCCTTCAACTAGAGTATTTATTGAATGGAAAACGATGAATAAAATTATTGGTCATTGTTTATCACTTTTTATTCAGCAGATAGTCGAAGTTAGCGAAAAAAACATAAGAACAATTTTCCTTAGCACATATTGAACTCCTGATGAAAGGGTTTTTTCATTAAAAATTGAATTATCAAATTTATTTCGCTTGAAAAAATTTTTAGAGAAAACAATTCGGTCTACAGGATCTAGATTTTTTTTATGAATCAGTTATTAGTGCAATTATCGGAAATGCGAAAACAACTTTCAGTGAACACTATTGAAAATTAAATAGGCGACAACAATTATGTCATTGTGGAGGATTTAGCGAAATGTATAGGTATATTTTTTTGCCATCAATAAATTGATGGAGGGCTTCCGAATGATTTTAACAATATATTTTTCCTCGTCAGGTTGGATCTATTATGAGTGTTAAATGGTCGTAGCGATTAAGCATCTCTTAGACTAAAATTTTCAAATTTAAAAAACGAATTCGATCCTGATATTCTGAGCTATATAATCATTTTACACTAAAATTTGAATATCTATAAAACCAATTGTTCAATTAAGCTCATTTTTCATACTATCCATTGTAGTGATAAACGGACGATTTCGTCGAAATTTGCAGTCTTAATAGCTTGATTTTTGTGCGGATGAAAGAGCGAACAACATTTTGTTTTTCATTAACATAAAAGTGTCATATAACTATGATTACCTACAGGCTGCATTTTCGAGTTTTTGATTAATTTCAATAGTGCCAAGCATGACGAAAAGAATGGAATTAAAAAAAAGGCGTACAACAATTTGAACTGAAAAATGAAAAAATCTAAATATCTCAAAAAGTTTCTAGGGACAACTATATATATTTTAATTGATAATGACAGGGGACATCGAGACAGAAATTTTCACATAAAAAAAAATGAATTCGGTTAAGTCAATTTTGAGATATTCCACATAATCATTTTACACTAAAAATTGAATATCTCCGGAACTAATCAGTCAATCCTACTCATTTTCAATACCATCCGTTGCAGTGATAAAAGGAGAATCTCGTCAAAATTTAAAGTTGATATCTCGATTTTTGCGGGGGTGAGAGTGCGTACAACATTTTTTTTTCAAAAACATAAAAGTGACAATAACTATGATTTTTTCCAGAGTTCATTTTCAAATTTTTGATTGATTCCAATAGAGCCAATCGTGGCGAAGAGAATGAAATAAAAAATAAACTGAATACCTTCATTAGTTTTGGAGATATTTCGAAAAAACGATTTATAAACAAATCACGATTTCTCAAAAACGGCTTGACCGATCTAGCAGAATTTTCATTCCATAGTTAGCCTCAACTCTTACCTACTATTTGACAGAATTTCTCTACGGAGATATACAAGTAAACGAAACGAGACATTTCCGCACAAGGTAAACGTAGCAGTAGCGTTCAAAAATAATTTAGAACATTCACGTTCCACGGATTTAGTTCAATAATTTTAGAAAACGATCAAATTAAAAAGACAAACTCCGTAGAAGCCTCCGAACGAAAGCAATAAAATCGCATGTAAAATCCAATCATACAATGAGTATCATACAAAAATTACATGAAATATAATATTACATAACGATCGTATTTTGAAGAAGGGAGGATTATATATAACCATAAAATGTGAATTTTTATACACGAATGTATCAAAATCATTTCAAAGAACACACAAAGCACACATACTTGAAATACGAAATTTAGATCGCTATTTACGCGATTTTTAATCTCGTACATTACGAGTGCGGAAGCGTAAATTACGACATAAAGAAGAAGAGAAGTGATTTACGGCATCAAACACATAATTTACGACAAAAAAAAAATTGCTGCATTTTCGAACCGATTCTATTGATCGAGCTGAAATTCCGCCTAGAAATGCTTTACAGCAATACTCATATTATGTCATGAAATTTTAGACTCTAAGCTTCAGTAGTATATGTATTTATTCCTTTATCACCATATATAGCCTATATTTAGCCTGTTACATTTGGTTGCGGCATTTTGTCTTCGCCGTGTCGCATTTGCCCCAGGAGCTGTAGGCCATGCACAGACTCTTCTGGTAACCAAGGAAAACCGTGGAAAACCTTGGTCGGCACGGTGCCCATCAACCAAGCTTTATCGGGAAATATACAGGGTGTAACTTCATAAGTGTAATACCTTCCAACCACGAGTTCAGGGACCCCCCCCCCCCCGAACACTAGAAAAATAGGAAAAAAAAATGCACTCGACCCATTTTAAATAATTAAAAATTAACGAGGGCCAATGATAGGGCTCAGTTACGGCGCGTAAGTGTGAGGGGTAGAAATCGACTGAGATATGACAACAGCGCGTGAGAGACGTTGTGAAATGAGAAAGGTAGTTGAGTACCACTGCTCAATTAGCAGAATATAAGAAATTGATTAATCTTGTTCTGTAATTATTTAATGTATTGCAGAACCATATGGAAAATTTAGTAGGATATCATAAAACGCACAAACGGTATATTTTTTCGTTGAATTCAGATCAACAGTTTGTAGAAAAATATTGAAAAAAGTATAATATTTCGATTGCCTGAAATTCATGTGCGGGCAGTCTCAGAATGGGACGACGTCGCGACCGGTCCAGAGTGAAGTGGGCAGGCGCTACATTCAAATTATTGCAACACAGATATGAAAAGAATTATCATGAAAGCCTTATTCACGTTCGTTGCCTCGTGAATGCGTGGCGAGGAAAATCAATAAACAATCTAACAAAATCACTCCCTATTGCAACGTAACAGGGGTGACTCAGTAGCCAAAAACCAAAAATTCAGAGGGCGTAACGTGCGTCATTATATTACACGCTCGTGCTGCGTATCCGCTCGGGTTTACCTCCTGGCGCATATTTTCCGTGGAAAACATACGTTGGAGGCAGTGGTTATTGACAGGGTTCGGTAAGTCAAGTACGCTCAAGAAAATATTTTCATAGTAAAATAAACTAAAATATTCCGCAAAATATGCACAAAATGGTCACTGAATATTTCTTGTTCGACTGTTAATATAATAGTTGATGTTATTTTATCGCGAATTTGTGTCGAGTTACTCTGATAGTGCGCAGGTAAATAATCTGGAATGGTTGGGTAAAAAATGTTGCCAACTTGTGTTACTAAAATATTATAATGGGCAACGTTGCCCGTTGTCTGCACTGATTTTTTATCATTTCAATAATCATTCAATAACTGTCCCAAAAATTTTAATGTTTTTTACGGATTGTAATGGCTAATACATGTTATCTGAAAAATATGTATCCCACTGAAGTGATGCAAAACCACCTCAATGGGGCAAATAAAATTTCGATTTTCTCACGTTCAGGAACTGAAACACTACCCCTACCCCTACCCTTCGCTTCGGTGCATGTAATACATGCTTAAGTTTGCTTGATGTGAAAATAACCCCTGCATAATATCTATCAAATAAAATCACAATATTGCCAAATAACTATCCTCAGTTTGATAATAATTGGCATTTCTTGCTTTTGAAGTGGAAATTTAGTGGTGTTGTGGCTCTCATGGTTATTCAACTTTACGTGAAAAAAATAATTCGCCCAATATCTTTCAAAGTACGAGTCCGATTGTTTAATGTGTTTTTTAAATATTCGTCGTGCTGTCTCCTATTAGCATCAATCATAATAGGAGTGCTCATATTCTTTTTCTGAAAGTTACATAATAGGTATAAAATTTGCAATTAACACTTGACATTTCGAATACTAATTTGTGTCATTGAGTCACACTTGTATGTTCAGTGAAGTATAGAACAACTGATATAAAAATGTTTTACTCTGCCGAAAAATTATACGGCGTAATTTGATCGATCTAATCGATTGTTTGATAACTATGATATCCGTATATCGTATATCTGCTCATTCTAATATCATATAAATTTCAATTAGGTCCTTTAAATTCATCTACAGTAATAATGTATATTTCATATATAACATTTTATTGTAACTTTATTGTATTTTAATGATAAAGGAATTATCAGAAACTTATGTTAACGATACATCGATGTTTCCACCGTTCGTTATTCTTTTATGAAAATTTCTGGTAAACTGGTAATCAACTTGATGTGAAAAAATATATCAGGTTTGAGTTACATCGATATTCGTGGTACGAAAATTTTGATACATTGTTTCGAAAAAGTTTGGAATTCATAAAAAAACGGAGAAAAAACAGTGAAAAAATAATTGTCCGTAGATGAACCGTCGTAAATAAAAAAATAATAGTAAAATTCAAAAATAAAAAAATATTTTCGCATGACTTTGATTAACAGTTTGCCAAAAAATCTGCAAGAAACAAAATTGAAAAATGATAAGAAGAAAACAATCCACCTTTAACTTCAGGCACTTGCTTATTATAACTACACAGAGCGCAAATAAAAACAACATTTTCAGTAAAATTGACGAAAAATTTCAGGTCCTTTTGTCTACTGGAAAGTTATTGAAGAATCATGTTTTTTCCAAACGCACATGAGTATATTGTTATCTATTTGCAAACTTTCGTCTTCTTCATTTTTCTTTTTCTTGAAGGTTTTTCGAGAGACTGTTACAAATGCGACATCAACAAATTATTCACGATGAAAATCGATATTTCGTTTGGGCAAAAAAAAATTTAATTTTAATAGAAAAAATTAGCGACATGCATGCGAACAGTGATAATCACAAAAAATTGTCCAATCCTAGAAAAAAACGGAAATATTAATGTTTTAATGTAAAATGACAAACGTACCTTTCCGAAACCATCACCCGGCCTTTCTCGCTGATTCTGGCCCTGCTATCATACAATAACATAAACAGAGTACTATTGCTAAAAATATGCTTCAATGTAATATTTTGTAAATGCTTATGTTTCAAGTTTCCCAAGTGATGTACATTATGTTCAACAAAAAAAATAATGCATATTATTTAGATACTCGTATTAAATGAATATTTTGTCTATCGAGGAAAATTAAACACTTTACGTTTTGATTATCAAAATATAGCTATGATATAATTCATTCTTTGTAGGAGTCTACTGCTATTAATATTGTGACACATCTTTTACCATTAATGACGACGATGAAATTTCATGTAGGCAAATTTTAAATACACGGAGAGAAAAATACTGGAAAAATACGTAAAAAGTTCCGTAAAAATTCATGTGTGAAAGGTAAACATGGGGCGAAATGTAAAATCGGAAAAAGTGCCGATCATTCAGAACGTTTTACCACTCGATCGGTAAAAAGTCACCTTTAGAAGTAGAAAAATTACGATACTCCGTTCCGTAAATTTTGCCGGGACTGGAAAGTATGATTCTAACCTCGCTTCGCTCGGTTAGATCGCAGTTTCCAGTCCCTACGAGAATAAAATATGGTGTGCCTCACGGAAATAAAGTATTTTCTGACTGATGTGATTATACTCACATTTCGTCAGAAAATACTTTACTCCCTAGAGGCACAATATACTAATTATCCTTTCAACAATAATAATTCGCCGAGTGGCGTGATCCGAACTTAGACAATGATTCGTGATCGACTATGACCAACAGTCGTACTACCAACGCTGTCTAGGAATTTTTCAATTCCGTCACGTAAAAATTACGGTACGTCACGTAAAATTTAAGTGAAACTTACTCGGAATAATTTTTACCGGAACTGTGGTAAATTTTACAAGTTCGTAAGAAATTACGTGACAGTCCCGTAAATTTTCCAGAGCAAATAATAAAATTTACTGTTCGTCCCTCATTTTTTCCCGTAAAAACAAGGAAATGACACTCCAGCCCACGATTACGTGATTAGTCACATAATTTTTCCTGGGTTTTTCTCTCCGTGTAGACAAAACTCGATTGCTCATTCGGGAAAAATTAATTAAAGTGGTCCATTTACACTTCAACTCAAGTCATACGATATTGGAAATAACAAATCAGTAAATATTTTAAAAAGATACGGTACAATTTTCAAAGGCCTGTAATTAGAAGAACAACATGTACAATGAACAGCAAAAAAAACATCTAGACTGCAATTACATCCAAAATGGTAAATGAATAAGGATTGAATGATTTTTAATTGCGAGGCGTGAGGGGGAATGTCTGAAAAAAAAATAAGTTAGGTTCTGCATCTACTACTACTATCTATTGAACACCATCTTTGGGTTAAATTCCATCTTTGTTGGTGTATTTCAGAATTTTTTCCAAATTGTTGAATTCCAAGGCAAAATTACAGGAAAATAATTAAAAGTAGGCAGGTTACTAGTTACTATTATAGGGGAAACAAATACATTTGATAGTCAATAATAATTAAAAATCAAAATGGACTGTCGGCAGATCTCTTGAAATCAATATTTCCCATCAGCCACCGTATAATTTTTATTCTTTTATCATTATTTTTTTGTAACCACTGGAGGGGGTTTCTGCAACACATTTGCCAACTCAAATTTACAAATATCTCAGGCTCACAATATAAAATCAAAACCAAAGGCTTCATTGCATATATAGTACATGCGGACCTCAATGTGATGCATCCATATGATTTAATTTTGCAAATGACAGCTGATTTGTTATTTCGAAATAATTTGATTTGAATATGGACCTCGCTTTTATATACATGAGTATTCAGCATATCGTATATGATTAATTTTCATTCAATTTGAGCGTCATCTCACATAAGAACCAAAATCGTATTTGTTGTTCTCCTGTGGATTGATATAAATTAGTTTTCCATCACTACTCCGCCGCCAATATTTGATTTTTTAAAAACACACTTTGGCTTTGAAAACTCCTACGCAATGAGTTAAAAAAATACTAGGACCAATTATTCATTATGAATAGCGTACGACCCAGATTTTGTAATATGATTTATGTTCTTCAGTCATCTTAACTACAAAAAAGTGAAGTATATAAAAAAATAAAATGCCTACACCTTCTTAATGCCGCTGTGTAACTCACTGATTTCTCTTTAGGACAGCAGTAAGGTAATGGAGGTGTGTATGGAAGATTTCCCAAGATGATTTGTATGGCGAAATAACGAAGTCAAAAATAATTAAAAAGGAAAATGTTTCAGGATACAGTAGTAGAGTTTAAGGGAAAAATAATGAAAAGCAGATGTTCAACATAGATGGTTATATTTTTATGACATCAGCCCAAATTAAATTTTCGTAATGGGCCCAACAGTTTTCGTCTTGGGAATAGTGAGATGAATGGAATAGAGTCATTCATGAAGTGGTTCTTTAACGTTTGTGCGTTAATATGAATAAAATAGGGAACAATTAAAAAAAACCTAACTTAACATTTCTGTTTTGCTACACACGCACGTACACGGAGAGAAAAACACTGGAAAAAATACGTAAAAAGTTCCGTAAAAATTCATGTGTGAAAGGTAAACGTGGGGCGAAATGTACAATCGAAAAAAGTGCCGATCATTCAGAACATTTTATCACTCGGTCGGTAACAAGTCACCTTTAGAGGTAGAAAAATTACGATACTATTGATTAGATCGCAGTTTCCAGTCCCCACGAGAATAAAATATCGTGTGCTTCACAGAAATAAAATATTTTCTGACTCATGTGATTATACTCACATTTAGTCAGAAAATACTTTACTCCCTAGAAGCACAATAGACTAATTATCCTTCCAACAATAATAATTTGCCGGGTGGCGTGATCCGAAGTTCGACAATGATTCGTGATCGGATATGACCAACAGCCGTACCACCAACGCTGTCTAGGAATTTTTCAATTAGGTCACGTAAAAATTTCGGTACGCCACGTAAAATTTAAGTGAAACTGGATAATTTTTACGTTACTCGGAATAATTTTCACCGGAACTGTGGTAAATTTTACAAGTTCATAAGAAATTACGTAACTGTCATGTAAATTTTCCAGAGCAAATAGTAAAATTTACTGTTCGTCTCTCATTTTTTCCCAAATTCTCCAGTAAAAAAAAACGAAATGACACTCCAGCCCACAATTACGTGATTAGTCACGTAATTTTTCCTGTGTTTTTCTCTCGGTGTAGGGGAGATTTATGCAAAACGGACATTCAGGCCAAAATAGACACCGTGAAATTTTTTTGATTCTCCTGATTTTTTCATTTTTTTATTTCCATAATTTTTTTTTGTTTGAATGACTTAAAAAACACAGAATTAAAGGCTCATAGGAATAATGGATTACTATAGGACATAGACGTGGCTATAGAGATCGCGCTCGGATAAATGAAAATTGAGACCGCAAGGTTCAATTTTTCAAATAAGAAATGTATGCAGAAGTACCAAATATAATGAACATTCAAAATCTAATGTACATTCCAATGAATTTGGAGGGTGTCCGTTTTGCTCCTACCCGTCCTAAAAAATATTTTCATCGATAGAGCTTGTCCCTTCTTGTGGTTATATTCAGAGCCATTTGAAAATGCTCGAGCATATTTTCTTGAGAAAATAATATATTATGCACCCCCCGGGAGAAATGTGTTTTCTGATGAATATCACATTATATAATGACATGAGTCAGAAAATGTGCATATGCTATTTGGTGTCCCAAGGGATAAAAAGCGCGATTGAACCGAGCAAAACGAGGTTAGAATCGCGCTTTTTACTCACGCTGGGACATAAAATTTTTTTTTTTTTCTTAAGGTGTCCGTTTCCCCTATATTTAAAAAGAACTGTTATGGAAGTTATTGAATGTTCCTGCCGTTGACTTTCACACAAAAAGTGTAATCTTCTTCGAAAATTTGCTACGATTGACCAAATAACAGCATGTCAAGTGCAGTTAGCCGCATTACTAATTTGCCATTGTAAGTCCTGTGACTTTGTCGGTTGACTTCTATAAACAGCAGCCTTGAGATAACTTCATAAATAAAAATCTAGTGAAATAAGATTTGACGAAGTGGACGACCTCCAATGTTATTAGGAAATGCCCTCACATCTTCAGTAAAATGAGGTGCTGTTTTGTCTTGTTGGAAACAAATTCTCAACCTAATACGTAAAGAGACCTTTTTGAACAATGTCAACAATTCTGCCTGGAATCCTTGAACCTATCCCTCATGTATCACACTTCCATCAAAAAAGTATCCCACACCATCCATTCGTTTGACACCATTGATGGTAAAAGAAAAGGCGCAAAAATAGACAGAAATCGCATTCATCTCACTAAATCCACTACTTTCATAAGACGCTAATAGTTAGTCTCATTAAACAAAATTAACTTAGGCTTGTACCATAGAAAGACCAACAGTTATGTTTAGAATTCACATGTCATTGTTTTCTCTCCGTGAAAGCTAACAACTTCTGTCTAAAACATTTACAAGTTCAATTTTTTGCTTCCGATTGGAAATGTAAAAATACGAAGTTTGAGAGGCATGTGTATATGTGGAGATGGTTAACTGACGATTTATTTTCACACAAGAAGAAGAACAATTAGGTAAATGAATTTCCGAAAATGTTCAATTTCGCCAGTTCATAGGTGTTAATATGGACTCGATTTATGCTGAATTTCAGTCCAATCGGTCAAGTACTTTTTGAAATATCGAGGATTGTTTCTGAAAAGTTTTTCTGAATAGCTGGGAAACTGTCGAATCGATTTCATTTTTTTTTTCAAAGATCTTCGTCTCAATGTGCTCTATGTAGGTAAGTTATATATATGTGTTCCTACGAAATTTTCATGATATTTCAATTTTTATGTTTTTCCAAAAAAATCGTTGTACGCGTTCTCTGATTTTTAAAAACCAACCTATTTATTGAAATTTGACGGAAAGTTTTCATTATTACCACAATATTTCGTATTGAAAATGGGCTGGATCGGATGATTCATTCAAAAGATATTTAACTTTGGAGCGGAAAGGATTTGCTTGAATATCGCAAAAACCACTGGATTGATTCAGTTTTCTTCTTTTGAAAATATTCGTTGAAGTGTGCTGAATTTAGATCAACCAAAGAAATGTACACGTTCGAAGAAAAACGTGAATAAATTTTCGTTCTTCTGTTTTTCGGAAGAATTCGTTTAAGCGCTGCTTGATTTTAAAAAATCAACATATCAACTTGTTTTTTTTTAATCGTTGTCAGAATAGCTACGTATCGATTTGGAAGCGTTCTACCAATTTTATTGGTCGCAATGGAGAATCAGAAAAAGAAACTAACGTATAAAATAGGGCCTGGCAACCCGGGCTTATCGGACTTACGATGAAAATTTATTAATTTCCCATTGTGATTAATAATGGGAACCCCGAAGGATAGAACTGAGATTGCTCCTAATAAATGAGAAGTGTGTCGGAGATTTTCGATGAAAAACGATACTCAATGGAAAAAGCGGTTTATATGATTCAATATCATATACTGAAAGCGTGAAAAATTTGTATTTTTCGTGTTTAGAGTTGCAATATATGAGGGAACATAATAATTGCCGAACAACATTTTCGAAATACATTCTCCAAAGATTTTCATTGCAAATTTCAATTTTTAAATTTTATGTTCAAAATTGAAAACTGACACGTTGCGCCAAGTCTGCCGGGTCAGCCATTTTTGTTCGACTCGCCCTCCACTCTACGTGGTTGACAGGAACATTCTCACCACTAGGGCTTATTCAACAAAAGATAGCTAATTGGCTCCTCATTAAGATTTGGCGATTATCCCGGCCATAGCAATAGGCTGACCCTGGGTTAAATGTCTACTGCCAAATAGGCTTGGACAACTACTTGTTTTTGTTATTGTCTGGCCTAACAAATCAGTTGGGATACCCTCTCATTGTGTTTTTGTGTGCACATGAAATAGAATAAATGTAACTAATAGAAGGTATTTCGATAATAATTATTGATAAAAGTGTGAACCGTAAGCAGTTGGGTCATAGAAAAAAGATAATTTGCTGATAGACTTTATGAATAGTTTCACAACTCGAAAATATGCCTTACTTACCAATATAGCATACACTAATCATAAAATAGTCACTACATAAAGCCTAGCAGAAAGAGATAAAATATATTAACTTAAGAGAATTCTAAAGTGCAATAGTAACATCTAAACGGTGATAAATTTAAAAAAATTGTTATCAATCGTTCATAAACTTGTAGTAATGCAGTGCAAAAACAACAGCAGTACTATTCTTTTGCATGAAGAAAATTGTTGGCATAAAGCGTAACTCGTATACCTATTAGACGTCACATACCTGCATCACAGAACCTATGGTTTCGTGTGTAAATACAAATAATAAAAATTGTACATGCAGCCCAATCGATTATCGATATTACAATTGATGTATTCACTTTCTGTAGTTTATAAACGTTCGTTGTATTTGTTCGTGATAGAATGCTTCCATGAGTTTAATCAGTGAGCCCACAAGTGTCAAACTTCCCTCAAATTGTCATCGAATAGGAAAATTTGAAGTATCAAATAAATTATTCACTCATTTCATTATCATTTGAAGTATATACATCTAATAGGAACTCCCAGAATTATGATGAAAAGGTATAACTTACGTGTAAGTTGTGATAAACTCCAGTATCTTCTGGTGGAGTGGGTTTACATTTTCCGCAGCAGAAATTGCAGCAACAGCATAAGCAGCAGCAACAGTAACATCCAGTCAGGAATGCACAAACGACAAATAGAGCCTGGAAATGAGAAAATTTTTAATAATTTTAAAACAGTTATGAAAATATAATTTGTATAGGAATAGAAAGGAAAAATTCTCACCTTGCACCATCCAGATGTAACAACAAAGTACGCATTGACATTCTCCTCACCAAATTGCTCAGACACATATAGACCGAGAGACCCATAGTTGTCGTAAATGTTGCGCTTTGTCAAATCAGTCAGTATAGCATGCGCCCGATTTATTTCCTTAAACTGTCATATAATAATATTCAATTTCATTATTCAAAGGTCTGAAAATTTTTCATCGGTATTCATTGCAGATAATCACCGCGAAAATGGATATTTTACCTTTTCAGCAGCTTCTGGATTATTTGGATTCTTATCAGGGTGATATTTTAACGCTAATTTTCTATAAGTTTTTTTTATTTCTTCAGGTGTTGCGGTTTTAGTGATTTCCAATGTTTGATAGAGAGAATCCCCAGACGTTCTGTAAACATAATGATTGATTTGCCATGAAGAAGTTTGAACAATCATCCCAATCGACGCTAGGGGAAAGAATCTTTAGAGAGGAACCACCCCAGAATAATGAACCCAATGACATATTCTCCATATTGGCCATATTGAAATAATGCCATTGCGTAAAAAAAAATGTATAATCAAATATACTTCGTGATACATATTAAGTAAGATTGTACGTATAAATATATATATTTTCCAATATGAGATATAGCTCAGACTTCAATTCAATTCTCTTTACGATTCTTCTAGTTCGGCCTAATCAGTATATTTAACAATGATGAATCATAAATAATCTTTGAAGCTGACATCATAAAAACTTGAATAACAAAAAGAAATGTCCCATACATAATCTTATATCTATTATACACTTTTTTCAAACAGAAAAAATATTTGATTATGAAAAAAATATACTTAATAGTATAATAAAGTACAGTAGTAGTACATGAATATATAATAACAGCGTAAACTACACGATCAGATATATTGATATTATATAAAGTTCGAAAGAGATACTATCAAGTATCAAAATCAATTGGAGTAGACGCAACGCCTTTATGATGGGCTCGAAATAACCAAGCTTATTTGATAAATTTAAAATTTGGTATGTTTGACACGTGCTGTATTGATTTTAATACTTTCTGAAGCCGCAAAACTTGCCACGATTACGGGATCACCTTCCATTTTTGTCAAAATACTAATGAGCGATGTAACAATAATAAAAGTTATATTCAATAAGCAGTGCTTCAGCAAGCAAAAGAAATGGTGCACACCCGAGCAAATCCATTCAAATCATATTCTGATTTTAATAGTTGACAAACATTCATCTCTGTATAAGACACTCAAAATATTCAGTAGAAAAACCTTCACGCTGCGGTAGTGAATGGTTAGAACAGAAATTTCTATAGAAGTGATTTTTTTTTTAGACAAGAGGATGATGAACATCGTAATATTGGCACTAGTCATTATTCACACGTGAGAATTAGAAAATACTTTCATGACGAACAAGCCTCAACTGTGGACACTGATTTCCTTGGGCGTTATCAGGGGGTGCAAAATACTTACGACATTTTTCTTCGATCCATGACGTTATTACAAGTGTGTATAACACAATATTTGACAAGATTAATAGACTTCTAGAGTCTACAGTTTACCAACTACTTCACCGTCTAACTCTATTTGGGTTTAATTGTATTTAATTAAAACCAGATAATTCACTATTCCAACATCTCTGTTCGATATAGGTGCCGGAGGAGGCATACACCAGACATAAACGACAATCGCGCTGGTGCAAATCTGCGTCTGTAACTCTAACAGCCGCGCAGCAACCCACCAACCAAATTCAATATTTTAGTTCCGTCCAAACTCACACGACGGAGCAGGTATAGCTTTTCTCAAAATTAACCGCCAAAGCACAAATATAGTGAATAATTGAGTCGGTGGATAAAACATTTTCATAAAAATTGACGGCTCATTCGTTAAAAAAATCAATTTTAGTGGTATAATATAGTTTTAACACCAGCTAAAAATTTATTGCAATGATAAAAAATTTATGGTAATTATCCATGAGAACATCTCAGCACCTCATCTCGGCACTAACAATGAGTGCTGGGTATACTACCCGTACCCAACTACAAGTATTTGATTTAATTAAAATTATTAACAATATAATTCTCTTAGTCATTATGTTTCGCTGTGGACGCCCGGTGGTGTTGGTGGCGGCAGGAGCGAGTAGGGGGGTGGGGCTTTTTATTTGAGCACAACTGTCCATGGGTAGTGACAAAGGAGAGAGCACAGCCGTCCATAAATTGAGTTGCCCATTTTCACTATTGTCCATCACCCGAACTGTGCATGGAAAGTTTTGTCGGTCTGACAGTGTCGGTAGAGTAGAAATAATATTTTTATTATCTACGACCGATGTGTCTTGTTAGAAGTTATCAATGCAGAAAGATGGCAGCAAGAGAAAAACAC